TATTAATATTTTACTAAAATGCCCCCGCTGTAACAAACCTGTCGACTATGCAAATTTCCATTTGTCTGAATTGATTTTCAATTAAATGTATTTAATTAACATTATAGGTTTTATGAGTACCTAGGCTTGCTGCTACAGGGAGGGTTAAAAAGTTTGTTTTTTGTGAAATATTAAAAACTTAGTATAAAATAAATAAATTTAACAAGTTTGACCAAAATATATCCACAAACTACAACATTTTACAGTATTCTCCTTAAAAAAGACATGGGAATTTAAAAATACAATTTTTTTAATTTTCTCCGTGTCCAAAAATTGTACAAAAACACTTTGATATACTAAATTATTTGTTTTTTTAAGCTCTTTATAAAGGTCTGGAGAAAAATTGGGAAATTTTGTGTTTAGAGGGTCAAAAATTAGAAAAACCAATTTTTACCCCATAACACCCCCCGTAAAACCCTGTTCCCATGGTCTGATCATGCTGGTTCGCAAACTTACACCTTCAAACCAAATTTTATCAAAATTGGACGAAATTTACTCAAGTTATCGTGTTCACGGACACATATATGAAATCTATATATACAGGGTGTCCCGGAACTCTCTACCAATATTTTAGGGCATTGCTCCTGGGTAAGAAACATACCTAAATATCATGTTTAAATTGTTCGGAAGTCCTTAGCTACTCACACAGCCACCATTTTGTTTTTTTCAGTTATTAATTTTTTTTTAAAGAACGGTTAAACATACGAAATGGAAACTTTGCACAAACATTTATGATAACTAGACAAAGCTACCAAAAAATTATGACGATTAAAACAAAATGGCGGCCGTTTAAAATTTTGTTTTTTAAATAACTCGAAAACCGTTGATTTTACAAAAGGTTTACAAGAATAACTTTTTTAAGGCAATTTTATTACAAATCGATTGACACCTTATTTTTTAAGATTGGACGAGTATTAACTGAGATATGGCTACTTTAGTGATACGTGGCCGCTTTCAGCATGCGCTGCAACTAACCTCCAGCGGTACCGGTAATGGAAATTCACTTATTTAAAATATATAATTATATTTTATTTTATTATAAGGGTATTTTTATTTTAAATTAATTTGTTGTACTTATTTTTGAGTCTATTTTAATTTATAAAGGGATTCTACACATCTACAGGAATATATCTTTCTAACAGGATGTGTAGATTTTCCCTGTGATGAACAGGGGCTGAAAGAAAGGTCATCAAGAAACATGTTTGTCTCTTAATATACAGGGTGTCCGGTCATAAGTGTTAAATAAAATTTAGCATTAAACTATATGGCAATGGTGACAGAATGTCTCACATTTGAGGTTCCCAACTTTAACAGTTATAGAGTAACAAATAAATTAAGATTTTTCAAAAATTATTGTAGTTGTTATGAAAAAGGTAATTTTACTTTTTTTTAAATGCACTTACTGTCAATTTAAATGTCATTTTCAGAATCCTCACAAAATTTTAAATAGATATAACACGTTATCGTTTGGGTACGGATTAATATTCTATTTAAATTTCTTCGTTAAACAAATTATTTTTATATTGACGAAAATGTAAATAACCCACAAACATTCATTTCTCAATTAATGAATAATGAATAATTCTCAATAATTCATTTCTCGGTTGCCGAGTTTCGGCGAGGTTATCAAATATGACTAAAAACTTCCTTATTTAAAGGGATTTACAATGATGTATAACAACATTTGCCTACTGTCAAATCCATGGTGAATTTTACGCACTATTGTGAAAAATCACGGTTAAGCCAAAACAAATATTGTAGAAAATAATGCATTATTTTACTTACTATTTTATCAGCTGACCACTGATGACTAGGGTTTGTGTAATTTATGATTGACCAGACTACACTTCCATCAAACTAAAGAGGTTTTTAGACTTTGGAAAATTTGTTATTAAAAAAAACACAGTACATTGGTAAATGTAAAAAATGTGTTATGGGCCTAAAACATAGGATCACGGACAAGTACTACAGGTATTTAACCTTTTATTAGTAAATTACGTGATTCAGAGGCTAAACATGTTGACATTGGTAAACTTAAATTTTAATATGAAGGATAGTTAACAAGCACGCCCTACTAGTAGGTAGTACTTAGTAGCTCGTTTGCAAATTGCGCCAACTGTGACCTCATACTGTACTCAATTTTCCCTTACTTTCCCAGCAGCCTCAAAGATTCTCTCCCATTACTCAACTTTAGAGTTTACAACAGTTGAGTAAACTACACTTTTCATGTAACCCCAAACAAAAAAATCCAACGGGCTCAAGTCTAAAGATCGAGAAGGCCATGTCATACTTCCTCGACGTCCAATCAATGTTGGGTAGTTTTGGGATAGCCACAACCGAAAGCTTTCAATAAAATGTGGTGGAGCACCATCAACAAACTCCCGAATCGAAAAAGACATAGTTGACCGATCACTGTCCACATGTGACTGATAGATTTTTAAAAAATATGACTACGCTTTGTTGTCTTATCGCTTAGATAAAGTATTGATATCAGTAAAATACCTGAATCTATTGACTAAGTCCGTTCAACAAAATAGAAATTCCGGGAGATAATTGAAATCTAATATGAAAAATATACAATAACCGTAACTTTATAACAAACACATTTTACTACCATGTTTCTTTTCTTGATAGTTATAAACAAAGCGTTGCATGCAAGAAAAAAATACAAATTATTTGTTGCCTGCACTTAAATGTATTATTCTTCACAATAGATTTTCTTTGCCCTACCATGTTTTTTTCACAATAATAATTAAAATACATTAGGAAATTTGAAATACGGTAAAAACTATTATACACCATTGTAAAGCCCTTTAAATAAGGATGTTTTTAGTAATATTTGATAAACTCAGCGGAACTCAACAACCGAGAAATAAATCACTAAATGTTATTTAAATTTTCGTTCATATTAAAAATAATTTGTTTAACAAAGAAATTTAAATAGAATATTTGTCCGTACCCAAACGATTATGTGTTATATCTATTTAAAATGTTGGGAGGATTCCGAAAATGACATTTATATTAACAATTATTGCATTTTTAATAGACTTGTATAACCTTTTTCATAACTACAATAATTTTTGAAAAATCTTAATTTATTTGTTATTCTCTAACGGTTGAAGTTGGGAACCTCAAATGTGCGTCATTATGTCACCATTACCATGTAGTTTGATGCAAAATTTTATTTAACACCTATGACCGGACACCCTGTATGTATTTATATATATATATATTATATATATATATATTATATATTAATATATAGGACTATTAAACACGTAGGTGTAAGGAACACAACTTTGAGGAAAACTTGCTGCTCAAATTCAAGTTAATTGCAGTAAGATTATTAAAATTTTCTGAAAACTTGATAGAAATTGAGTTAAATATTTATAATTTTGCGTTGTGAGGGTTCACGAACATTTCTGTTTTCTAATAAATGCTAAACGTTCTCCTTAATTCAAATGAACATGTTTGTAATATATTGCAACAAAGCTTTTGCAGTATGAACAGTGTGAAGAACTGAAGACAAATGTTGTCAAAGAAGGTCACGTACAAAGGAAGTATGAAGGTATCCTTCGTCTTCTACGGTTTTCAAATCTTACTCTTGCTGCTCGTGGCATTTTTTTCAGCCACAGATAATATTATTGAATTCTGATATTTATTTGTATCCAACCCAATACTTGCTTTATATTAGGTTAAACCATGTTTTGTTTTTAGCAAATTTCCCATATAGGGAATAAGCTATTACCTTAGGTCTCATGGTAAGACCATCTATGGTAAGACCTAGACCCGCGATCAATTTACTTTTTCGTTTTGAGGTCCCCAGAGGCCAAAAACACTATCCGTTTAAATTCACAAACCAGCATGATCGGACTATGGGAACGGGGGTTTATGTGGGGTTTTATGGGTTAAAAATATATTTTTCCCATTATTAACCCTAAAAACTAAACATTTTTACTACTTCTCTCCAAACCATTTTGTAGAGCTTAAAAAAAGAAATAATTTTGTACATTGTAGCATTGTTGTATGCCCAACGGTTTCGGAGATTATTAAAAAATGTAAATTTAAAATTTCCATGTTTTTCTAATGGAGAATAAATAAACTGTTGTAGTTTGCATGTTTATGGATATATTTTAACCAAATTTCAAAATTTGGCTTGTTTCATACTAAGCTACCAACATTGCAATAAAAAAACACACCTCAATTTCTTCCCAGTAGCAGCAAACTTAAATACTAACTAAAATAATGTTATTTAAATAGGAAATAAATCAGACAATTTATAGGGAATATTTTAGTAGAAATCTAGCCAGGTAAATAGAAATTCCCTTAGTCTGCAGGTTTGCTGTGGCAGGGGTATTTTTGTATTCAGCGAACAACATGTACACATGACGCAAAATATCTTGAAACTTGACAAATTCCACTACCGGAGTAAGATTTATTAAACAGCTGGGTTAGTAAATTTTCTTCATAAGAAATACATTGAGATTTTGATGACCTGTGGGGCAAAGCCCGAGGACTTTTATTACAGGAATTGGTGAAAGGGGGCATCAACAAAAATACTTAATTTTGACACATCCTTTGTAAAAATCTGTCCATTATTAACAGAGGAGTAGTGTTTTGTAGAAATCGCCTTCACGTATTATACATAAGGATTGGATTGTTTGGATTTTTATATTATTAACTCCATATTGTTAGTTTTTATTTTTACTTTATACTAACCTAAATCAGGAGGGGACCTGCCAGGCACTGATTTATGAGGGGAACTTCCACATGTCATTAGAACTTGTTAATACAAGCACTGGGAGCTTTGAAAAAATAATATAAGTTACTTGGTGACTGGAAGATTCTAGTGGAAAACTTTAATTTACATTAAAACGGCAAAAGTTTTCAAAAGATTTCATCTACAAAACAAATAAAAATTAACTATGAATTTAATAGTGTGAACCAATGTAGTAACTTACATCATTTTGAGAGTTGTTGAGGGTGGTGGTGGGGGAGTAAAGACTGCTGTTGGTTGGAGAACAAGCTTGATAATTATCCTCCTCCTTCTTGATGGGAGGAGACACCATTCTAGGACTGCTTGAAGACATCATGGATACCTGTATGTACCAAATACAACATCATTTTTATACTCTTGAAATTAGCCTAATTGAAAATACTCTTTTGATAGGTAATAAACTGCATTGATACTTAGCTTAAACCTCAGTGTGCATTGCTATCTCAAAATAAAGATGATAAATAATAATGTATAACTTCTTGATCAGCGTCGTACGTGTTATTAATTTACCTGAAAGCACAAAATATACGTCAAATAACACTTATAATAATATATTTACACTTATACTGTTTACTCACAAGACGGTAAATACATATAAAAGATGGTAAGTAGTTTAGTGGTGATCGATTTCGATTGGGCACTATAATCAATCATCAGACCCAATAGGCGAATGTCCATTTCGCCTATTGGGTCTGATGATGATTCTCGGAGTATGTTTTGTGCTTTGAGGTAATAATCTATTTATAACATACTGTATAAGGTTGCTGTTATAACAAGACTTCCTTTTTATATTCAATTTTAAAACAATTTAGGTAAAATTGGATTCTGTTCATTGTGAAGGTTGTTCAGTATCACCATGCAAAACCTGATGCTTCGCTATATATTTGAAAAAAAAAAAACTCAATAAAACATTATTAGGCCTATACTATATTGTGTTAATTCAATACTAAGTAAATTTGGCTACTTAAAATAAGTCTACATATAAGTCATTTATAGTCTTACATAAATGTTAAGACTAAACACATAAATGCTTTCACGGGAAATCACCAGGGTAGCAAACAAAAAGTGTATAACGATTTCATCACAGGTAATATCTCTGACGCCCAATAAAGCCCATACCCTAATAGAACTATCTCACAAAAGCACAACATATCATATTGCTTGATTACTGACTTCATCTTATTAAGAAAGATTGATGAATTCTTGTGTTAGTATATTTGCATGCATATTCGTAAAAATAATCATGGCAACGTTGGTGTAGTAGAGTCCTACAGGGAAGTGGGAACGAAAGCAGGCGACCTTGAACTTGGCTGCGGCTCACTAGCTCACACTCACACAGACCACAACCAATGAATACACAGACCACAACCGAACCGCCACAACACACTACCAACTAACTGTGCACACTACAGAACTAAGCCCTAGCCAAATGCCTCTTCAAGAGTCTAACATTGAGCTATGGTCATTCTTGCAATAAAAAGGACGAAATAGCTTTGAACTTAATATTTGTCGTACAATCTATATCTCAAGTATTAAGCATCTACATCACTCTGCCGACTAAACCATACAATGTCAAGGGACGTAGTAACCTTGAACTTGGATTGTCATACTATTTATCACTCTGCCGACTAAATCATATAACGTCACCACATTGACATATGGTCTTGCTGGCAAACCAAGGGACGTAGTAACCTTGAACTTGGATTGTCATACTATTTATCACTCTGCCGACTAAACCATATATCGTCACCACATTGACATATGGTCTTGCTGGCAAACCAAGGGACGTAGTAACCTTGAACTTGAATTGTCATACTATTTATCACTCTGCCGACTAAACCATATAAGGTCACCACATTGACATATGGTCTTGCTTGCAAACTAAGGGACGTAGTAACCTTGAACTTGGATTGTCATACTATTTATCACTCTGCCGACTAAGCCACATAACGTCACCACATTGACATATGGTCTTGCTGGCAAACCAAGGGACGTAGTAATCTTGAACTTTGATTGTCGTACTATCCATCACTCTGTCGACTAAGCCATATAACGTCACGACATTGACATATGGTCTTGCTTGCAAACTAAGGGACGTAGTAACCTTGGACTTGGATTGTCATACTATCCATCACTCTGCCGACTAAACCATATAACGTCACCACATTGACATATGGTCTTGCTTGCAAACTAAGGGACGTAGTAACCTTGGACTTGGATTGTCATACTATTTATCACTCTGCCGACTAAGAAAAATATAACGTCACCACATTGACATATGGTCTTGCTGGCAAACCAAGGGACGTAGTAACCTTGAACTTGGATTGTCATACTATTTATCACTCTGCCGACTAAACCATATAACGTCACCACATTGACATATGGTCTTGCTTGCAAACTAAGGGACGTAGTAACCTTGGACTTGGATTGTCATACTATTTATCACTCTGCCGACTAAGAAAAATATAACGTCACCACATTGACATATGGTCTTGCTGGCAAACCAAGGGACGTAGTAACCTTGAACTTGGATTGTCATACTATTTATCACTCTGCCGACTAAACCATATAACGTCACCACATTGACATATGGTCTTGCTTGCAAACTAAGGGACGTAGTAACCTTGGACTTGGATTGTCATACTATTTATCACTCTGCCGACTAAGCCATATAACGTCACCACATTGACATATGGTCTTGCTGGCAAACCAAGGGACGTAGTAACCTTGAACTTTGTTTGTCGTACTATCCATCACTCTGCCGACTAAGCCATATAACATCACGACATTGACATATGGTCTTGCTGGCAAACTAAGGGACGTAGTAACCTGGGACTTGGATTGTCATACTATTTATCACTCTGCCGACTAAGCCATATAACGTCACCACATTGACATATGGTCTTGCTTGCAAACTAAGGGACGTAGTAACCTTAGACTTGGATTGTCGTACTATCCATGGCTTAAGCATATACATCTCACTGCCAACTACACCATATAATAGCTATATGGCATTGAGCTATGGTCAGTAGTGGAGAAACCGCAAAGAGAAGTCACTTTGAGTGTTTTTACCATAAGAATAACAAGGTGAGCTTTTTAGCAGCTTTTTTTAAAAATCCTGCCCACGGCCTATACACCCCTATATGAATGTGCTATACCACTGTCCATCTCCATAAACATTTCAAATCCATATCCATTCATATATATATTTTCAATATCATCGACTTGGCTGTGCGAGATTTGCACGAGAACTCGGGAGCGCTCCAGACCCATAGGGATGCTGGCATGCTGCAATAAATGTTATTCTTATGGGAAAACACCCAAAATTACTTCTTTTTGTCCTATTCCATCTATTGACTTGAGATACAGCAAAACAGTTAAAAGTGTAAGCACAATACATGGGTTTCAACTTTTGAAAAAAAAAACAATAATACAGGGTAAAAAATCTAAAAATTGAACAAATGTTTTACATTATTTTATATGAGATGGATTTGTTAAATAAAATTAAAATTATATGCCTAAAATTAAAAAGTTTCATTTCTATGTCAATGAATTTTAACATAATGTCAGTGTTGGTAAAGGTTACAAACTCCATGCACTGCTTTATTGTTTGAAAATGCTTATATCTCGAAAACAGCTTAAGATACGGGAAAACAAATAAAATTCCAGGTTCCAACTTTTGATTAAATGAAATGAAATTTAAAAGTATATCGGTGCCGGGCCTAGTTCTTCCAGTAGCTTTGTTAGCACGACAATTATTAACAAAAACAAATAATTTAGTATATCAAAGTGTTTTTGTACGATAATTGGTTACGGAGAAAATTTAAAAAATTGTTAATTTAAAATTCCCATGTTATTTTTGTGGAGAATATTATAATATGTTGTTGTTGGCTTGTTTATGGATGAATTTTGATCAAACTTCGCGTTTTCATTTACTAAGCTATTGATATTTTAATAAAAAACACACTTTATTAGTTTCCCTGTGGCACCTAGGTACTCGCTAAACATAAATTTTAATTTAATAGAATAAATAATTAAAAATCAATCCAGGAAAACGGAAATTCGCTAAGTCGGCAGGTTTGCTGCACCGGGGGTATTTTTGTAATAAATCAACCTCTTTATACCAAAACCCTCGACTTTTTCCTAGCTGGTGGCAGCTGATGGATTAGGACCGCCAGGTAGGACTACATATCTTCAAGAAGAACTGTTTATATTGGAATTAATACTAATTTGAAATAATAACTTCGCCAATATATCTGAATTATATCTAAAAAAAAAAGTTATTATTTCAAATTAGGACTACATAGGTCGGACCTGCTCACCGACCTGGCCGTCCTAATCCCTCAGCGCCACCAGCTTTGACGAGGAGTATAATATAAATACACCGCACAGATCCTCACCCCTCAAAAATAGCTTGAGATACGGCAAAACTGTTAAGATCCCAGCCTACTACATGGGTTTCAACTTTTAATCAAAAACAATACTAGGTACAGCATAAAAGGTCTAAAAATTTAAAATCGTTTTAACGGGTACCGTTTGTTATACTGTATAAATTACCAGTTTCTTTTGTATGTCAATGCGTTATAGCGTTGACTATCAATACAACTAGACATTCCATCCCATGTTAAATTATTAGCCAGATTTGTTTTATCAAAATCTTCGTAGGATTGAGCCACCTATAGATTGCGCTGATCTAAATTACTAAATTCTTTCAAATACACAAACTGTTTTACAAAGCCAAACTTAGGGAATTACTTCAGGCGCCGTCGGGGCGGTGCTGCCGGCGTGGTACACTCCCTATCGCTTACACGTTCGTCTAGCTTGTAGGATGAAATTTATATATAAATATATAAATATAATTTAATTTTTGCCAGTGTATAATTACAGGAAAATATAAAAGGGTTTGACTCTATATGAACATAAAAAAGTAAGTAAGCGAGGATTATTTTATTTTTTGGCCAGAGAAAAACTTTTAGTGGGAAAAGAATAGAGAATTAGATGTTCGTCAATTTTTGTTTCAAACATGTTCTCATAAGACTTTTAGTTTGTCACCACTGGGGACGAGAAGCATGCCTATGGGTCGGGAGCGCGACCGAGTTCTCGTGCAAATCTCGCACTGTCAAGTCGATGATTTTGAAAATATATAGGCCTATGTGAATGGATATGGATTTGAAATGTTTATTGAGTTAGTAGGAAAGTAGTAGAGAACATTTATATAGGGGTGTATAGGCCGTGGGTAGGATTAAATAAAAGTGGATAACAAAGCCCAACATGTTACTCTCATGGGGAAAAACGCTCAAAGTGACTTCTCTTTGTGTTTTC